TTTGAACTTGTATCAAAATAAGTGCTAAACAGTAAGATTTTTAAATCTATTTCTTGATTATTATTGTTATCAGTTCAGTAAAATGACTTCACCAATGAAGGTTATGGATGACATGATCAAAGTACACTTCTCTTATATTCAGTAATGTCACATAACATGTAAATCCTGTGACTTAGTACAGGTCTTAGAATCATATGACCTTGTATACAGCAGAGACTGATATAAATTTGGCATCCTGAACTTTAATCTGAAATCAAACTGTTATATTAAGCATATGGTAGCAGAACAAAGAAGAAACAACGAAGTGCTTTTATGTCCTTTTCTCAGGCTCAAATCGGCACCAATTTTTATTTTCTTTAGGCAGGAGTGGGTGCTATTGGGTGGAAATTCTGGATTGTATTTTTCTTTGAGTGTGTAAGTAAAACGAAAACTATGTGCAAAGCCAATGCACAGTCGATGGAATTTTTAGTTCAGTCTTGGATTTCGAAGTGTTCACATCCAGCCAGTGGGGTAAATTTGTCTAACATGAATCAGAAGATCTGGTTTTAGGAAAAATTATAAAAAGAACATTGATCATCTAGTGTGAAATATCTAACTTTTTCTGATATAAGCCAGCCTATTTGAACTTGTATCAAAATAAGTGCTAAACTGTAGGATTTTTAAATCTATTTCTTGATTATTATTGTTATCAGTTCAGTAAAATGACTTCACCAATGAAGGTTATGGATGGCATGATCAAAGTACACTTCTTTTATATTCAGTAATGTCACATAACATATAAATCCTGTGACTTAGTACAGGTCTTAGAATCACATGACCTTGTGTACAGCAGAGACTGATAGGAATTTGGCCAGAGAATGCAAGGACCAGTAATCATTTCTAAAAAGAATAGGAATTATAGAGTTTGACTTTTTTCCTGCATTTTTGAGTGCTAATCACTTCAGCACAAGATATGTTGCCAACCATACATTTCAATGTGGTCAAATGATTCGAAATCAGGAAATCATGTCCTATATTCGTCCTCTTTCTTTCTCAATTCTCTTTCTGAATTAATTAAATTCTATCTATCTAGTTTATTTAATTATATTCTACCAAGAATCTCTCATGAATATGACAAGCAAATGAAAAAAGAACAAGAAGAATTGTAGTCATGTCATCTTCAAAAGCCTTGAAGTGTAAGTGACTTGAGTAGCCATTATTAGAATCCTAACAATTTCTGACATAGATTCACTTTAATCTATTATCTCATTCAGGTGATACAAATCCATTTAATTACTTTCTTAATTAAAATTGTCTGAATTCAGATATGACATTAGTGTAATATGTTGTGTTATAATATTTTCAGGATTAAAATTTGACATAGAATATGTGCTATGGGTAGTTTCACGCAACACCACAAATTGCTACAAAACCAAAACGTTAACCTGAAAACTTGAGTCATATTTTTAAATAGCCTCATAAGACTTGGGTATGGATATCATGCATAGTATCAAACCCATTCAGAAATATCTAAACCATCAGTTTGTGTAAAAATTGGTTGGATGCACACACAGGAAAAGAAAAAGAAAAGGAAAAAGTTAGTGCAAGTTCAATAGGTCTACTAGGCATTTTTTCTCTCAATCTCCAATACACCCCTCCCCATGAGAAGCAAAAAACAAACTTGAATGAGCATACCATGTTTTTATGCACCTGAGTCAGCCATCGCTCAGCCACTTCCATCAACACAAAGTGCTACCTGATACACTGTTCATCCAAAGCTTGCCGATTCACCGTCTCCACACTCCCTTGCAAAACATACACGTGTCCCTGGTTCTTTTGGGTCACCGAGGTAAATCACTGCTACTCATTTCTTGGATCAGTGTTTGAAAAGAGCTTTGAGTGAATGAAGACTGTATGTTATAGTAAGGACCATCCTTCCTCAATGCTTATAGACTACAGAATCCAAAGAATCCTTGATGACTTTCAACAAAGGCAACAACTAAAATGGATAGTACATGAAACTCAAATAGGAATTGATAATGTAATCAAGATGTAGATATTCCACACTACTTCAAATAAAAGTTTAGGAAGGAAACCCCATCAATGCAGGAAAGAAGAATAACGGTGGACTTGAGAAAACTATTTCCCTGAAAAATTGTTTTTATATAAAGATTTTATAAATTTCAACTGAAAGTAGGACTGTCTGCTTGGTCAGTGAACCTTAAATGTTTCCTTAGCAGATAACTTAATATTATCATAATAAAGGGGCAAATTTTAATATGTTTTACTTTGAAAGAATTTTCTAGAAAACAAAGAACATTGTAAACAGATAATTATAAAATTCCAGAGGTTTAAAGTATGTCCTATTGAGCCAAATATTATTGAATATTTTCAGAAAAGTTCTTATCAGTGCAGGAGTTATTGACATTATACAGGATGTGGCAGAAATATCTCCAACATGATGGTCAGACATTAGTGAGGTGCGGACACCATTGCTACTAATGTGTTACTATTATGGGGGGGGGGGGGGTATTTCTACTACAGCCTCAATTTATTATTACCTTCTTCATATATACAATGACATTGTCATTCTAAAGTTTGTTCAGACTATTTATTATTTTTCTTACTTTTTGTTATTTCAATCTATTCTACATGGGAAAGATATTTTGGGGGATTTTCAGGAAAAATGTAATTCAAAAAATTCTTAAGACTGTAAAATATATTCTTTGTGTTGGTTTGGTTTTGACTTTTCAGTTGCTTCATTTCCAGCCTTTTTCGGGTGACCATTTTATAATTAGAGAGGAGTAAAAGTAAAAAAAAATGGTTATCGTCCCAAGAATTCTTCAAAGAATTTGTTGATATCTTGAATTTCTTGACACTGATTTTTTTTTTTTTTTTTTTTTTTTTAATCGATTTCGCCCCAAGCAAGGCAGTAGATTCACTGAGGCACAAATCATGACTGGTTACCTGGTTATGGAAGAATTAGAAACAAAAACGTTGCTAAGGAGCAATAACAGAAGAGTAATCAGGATGATTGCATTTAAATTTTTGCAGAGTAAAGTTGGCTAGAAATCATGGAGCTGGAAGGGAGTTCAACAAATGAGAAGTACAAGAAAAGTAACTGTTAGCATAGAATTTACTGTTTCATCCAGTGAACTCAAATGTAAATTGTAAGATCTTGTTGCTAATCTGGTACTCTGCTTAAATTCATGAAGTCTAGATACCATAGTGTGGTGAACAACCCTGTAGAAGCAAGCAAGCCAGAGTGGCTTGTATCTGGTGCATAGGAAAATAAGGATCTTATCTTAACATGCAGCATGTGACATCGGCAAGTTTTCACCATGAAAATGGCATTACTCTCCCATCTAGCAATTCCAGCAGTATGTTACCATGAGGGGTTTTTGTATAGTTTGGCATGCTTCCACCAATAGTCATATCCTGATTGGTCAAACTGGAAGAGGCTATTAACTGAGAATAAAAGTGAAGAACACTGATTGGTTGGTTGACTGTGGTGTTGGCCTGATAAAAGAGGGCTGAAGTAGTGAAAACTGCAGAACAAAAATCAGATTTACATTGTGAGGTGTTCGAAAAGCAAGAACAGCGAATTAAACCAGCGGTATCTTGATTTGTACAAGTGACGTTGTAGTAATAGAGACCCATTTAAACTACACATAGCAAAGAGCTCATCAAAACAATTACCATGAAAATCTTAATAGAAAAGGGAGGCAAGCTTATGCCGGTGGGGAGGAACTGAAGCCGAGACACCAGAACAGGGCCAATAATATTGCTGATTCTTCTTTTGGATTTTATCAAGGAGCTCTAGGTATAGAGCAGAAATGCCAGACTGTGTGTCAGCAATATTGTAAGCATGGGAGAATGATAGATTTATAGATATGTAAGATAGATTTTTACCAATGAATTTATCATAGATTAAAACAAATGATAGTCTGAAATTTCAAAGATTGGATAATATGCTATAAATGGAAAACGAAATTCTAATTCCAGGTTCATAAATGTTTACTGCATCCTCTTTACAACATGAAGATAAAAAAAAAGTAATTATCCAAACAAACTAATTGTCCATTGTCTTATTGGGCAGGAAACATTCTTTTTTTTTTTTTTATCAGATTCCAGCAAATTGTCATAATGTATTGTTTTTGAAGGATTCAAAATGCAGAGAACTTTATTCTAGTAGACTCTATTGAGTTTAAGATGTTAAAGATTGTCTGAATCAATATATAATTTTCATAATTTTAGATTTCTGTAATAAATCTATTTTTATCACTTGTAGTTGTTGTGTTTTAAAATATTTTCTCTGTCTTGATCAAGAAAATAAAGTGAGTTTAAGAAGAGGTCAATTGTATTTCTCTGAACTTATTTTGCTCACTTGTTGATTGTTCTCTAAGCTTTGTAAATGACACCCCATAAACAACAACAAGCTGAGTACATTTCAAAAACACTTTAGATATTTCCCTCATATAAAAGTTGGTGTGAGGAATTTTTTACCAACATAGTATCATCATCAGAAAAAGAAGAGGCAAACTGTGTAGTGGGGAAGAGTTGGCCAATTATGGAAAGAGGAGGAGTAAAAGAGAGAAAGAAAAAGAAGGCATAAACTGTGTAGTGGGAGGAGTTGACCAATTATGGAAAGAGGAGGAGTAAAAGAGAGAAAGAAACAGGAGGCATAAACTGTGTAGTGGGAGGAGTTGACCAATTATGGAAAGAGAGAAAGAAGAGATGCTGTAGAGGGAGGATCAATACCTTTGAGATAACAATTTTTTTATCAGAAAATATAATCATCTGAGGTGGGATGCAATCACTGAGAACAAAAAGGTAATTGTGGTCGCTGCATGGTGAGAAATCTTTGTGGACGTGCAGCTGGTGTAATGGATAGCATATTTGAATGAGAAATCAGAGGGCAGAGTTCAAATTTCAGTTTGGTTTGTTATATTACACTCACTCACACACAAATACCCTTTGGTTAAATAGTAGTGCAGTTTATCCATTATTTTAAAGATTTACAGCCACATCATATTGAAACATGAGTTCCTGTACAATCACTGTTGTTAAGCAATGTCAAGCCTGGTTAGTACCTAGATGGGTGACTGCTTGGGAATACCAGGTGCTGTAAGCTTGGATATACAGGTGGCCCAATGGATAAGATCTGTAAATTTGAAATCAGAGAGCCAAGTTTTAACTCCAGTTATGTTTGTTATATTCATATAACAAAATACCATTATTCCCCCCGCTATGGGTTAATTAGTAAGACATGTATCATTAAACCATTATTTTGTGATGTTGGATGGCTTCACTTATCATTTTTGCTATGTTAAGTGAAAGCTTGTTATCACTTCCAAAAATGCTTGTTATATTCAAGACTTCGTAGACACCGGTACTAGGAGTAACACCTTCTAATAATATCCACACTAATAATACTTGTTCAAGTAATAATCGCCAAATAATGATCAGAAGAGAATCGTAATCTGTATAGTAGTAGAGTAGAGAGAGTGAACATATAACAATAGTGGATAGACAAGAAGAGGAAACAGTGATTGTATAGTCATCACGCTACTTCCTATTTATTCACTTCCTTTATGATCATGTGATCTACTTAATAATGGGATCATCCGTGTTACTCACTGGTGATCTAGTTTCAAACCACAGTGTCAGCAATGACACTTTCTCTTATACAACACATTATTATTTCAAAATAAATTCTTACAATTTAAAGATACTTTCTAGTGATAAATAACTTGCAAGAGGCTGATAAGGTGTAGAAAACAAATCAAAGAAAATCCATTATTTTATTCACTTCTTTAAGATAAATCTTTGAAAAGCCTTCTACTTTATAATATAAATCTTAAAAATATAATTTTTTTTTTTTTTTTTTTTTTTCTTGTGGATAAGGTTTTCATCAGAAATAACAAGCGTCTTCAATGGTCATTATTATGAACTTGACCAGCCTTCATGTTTTGTATAATTTCTGTTCACTTCAGCTTATCATGTTTTCCTCTAAGAATCATTCTAATTATAAATATTTATTTCCCACTTCATCACAGTGTTTACCAGGAGATCTTAAAGAAAACCTAATGTCGCTATCTCTCTTCAGTAATCCAATAATGGTCCCTGAATATTCACTCTTTTCTAAGCGGATGGACTTTTATAAGCTTATCTGATGTTGTTATTAATTTTATTACTTTCATATTATTTATATGGTTCTCTACAGATGAGAGCTCGCAATCTAGCACATACAGGTGATGGGCTGAAATTTGATCTGAAATCTTCATTGTATAGTGTTCAATCTGGGATTTATATTCAATACTAAATGAAGTTGATCCCTTCTTGTGATAACTGCTGACAAACATTTATTGCTTTGCAGGTTGATAAGTTTGAAGATGTTAACTAATTTAGTTGAAGTTTTGGTTTTGCTACATTTCTTCAGAACATTTGAACTCTTCAGATTCACTCTCTGATTGGGTAACTAATTTGGAGGTTGAACTTTTTGTTATTACTGTTGTTGAAGGTCATTCCCAGGTCACTTTCCTTCTTTTAGATGGATGAATGAATAATTTTGGAACTTGCAGTCTTTCCACTTTTATGTCCAACATATCCTTTGCTTTTGATCTGAAGATGCTATAACCATCTGTCCTCACTATACAGCCATTCAACATTATCTTTTTCATGTCAAAAATTTAATTCAATGAAACATATTTTTCTCATTTCACACTTTCATCGTACCATTTGATCCAGTTTTTCTTGGTAAATTTAATTTGTTTTGCCATAAACTTGGTACTTCTTTAGCAATTTCCTTTATACGTTCTTTCCTTCATTTAATGGATACTCCAAGGAACAGATCAGTCAGTCAGTTATATGCCATGCATGATACATGCTTAGGCGATCGTGTATCTTTCAATGCATGACTGTCAAAGAAGATTTTTTTCCCACAGTAGGTTGTCATTTCTTTCTGTGGTAGACCAGTTGCCATCCAAGGCTACAGAACCCAGTTTGTCCTGCTATTTACCCATAACTGGTGCGGGGAGAAGAAAAGGATTCCCAAGGGTATTTATTATCACGTAAGTGAATGTAATGGATTCGACCGGAATTCAAACTCAGCTCTTCGATTCCTTAATCTGAGCAATATCCATTACTCCACAGTGCCTCCTGAAAATGTATTACTAGTAAATTTGCTATAAAAATGTATTGCTGCTAATTTTTGTATGAAAATATATTGTTTGTAAATTTATTTTAAAAATGCCAATCAGTTATGTGCCATGCGTGATACATGACTGACGAGGCAGATTTTTTATTCTGCAGTAGGTTTCTTTCTGCAGTAGACCAGTTGCCATCCAAGACTATAGAACCCGGTCTGTCCTGCTATTTACCCATAGCTGGCGGGGAGAAGAAGAGGATTCATACCTTTTACCAAGAGTATTAGCATGTAAGTGATAAATACCTTTGGGAAAGGAAGAGATAGCAACCAACATTTTGGATTTAGAGTAATATCCTCCTTTCGTTTTCCAGTGATTGTTCTCCTAGTAGAATAGTTCTTCTTTTCTGATGTGATTCTGGAAATCTTGTAAAATTCTTTGTTCAGATTTTCTTGTTTCTTTCAGTGGTAGAAACACCTTTTTTATGAGGCCTTATGATTTAAAAATGAATACTTGGAGATCTTTCAGCAAATCAATCAGCGTTGCTCAATCAGGCAGCTTATATACTCAGAAACAAAATATAAACATGTTTGACCACAAACACAACACACTTTACCCATTCACCTTTTCTAAATGATGACCCAACCAGTGTCCATGCTTATATAATGCCACAAAATACACATCGTAAATCTCCAGAAAATCCAAGAAGGCTCCAGAAATTTTTAGAAAGCTCTAAAAAGTCATTAGCATTGCTATATTTATGATTTTAGAAATTTCGTGTTGGGGGTGATATTTAAAAAAAAATAATAAAATAAAACTGTTTTAAACCCTTCTTCATTATTTTTTAACAAAAGGTCATTGATACAGGAAATCAATTATTTTCCCAAAAGTGAAAAAGTTATAACCAGTGTGTGTGTGTGTGTGTATGTATATATATATATATATATATATATATATATATTTTCAGTTGTATGGATATTAGTTTGTAACCCTGCGATCATCCAATAAAGTTTATCTGGTATCTGTCTACATTTCTGAGATGAGGTATTATGTACACTATTTACATTATTCGGACTATCATCCTCATCTATGTTGCCATATTTATCACAACGTTTCAGCCATTTTATGTCCGGCCTTCATCAGGTGGTTGGAATGTTGAACTGAACACTTTATTTTGCTCGCTGGGGTAGACTCTTCAAGTTCCACTTTAGTCAGATCCAGTGACAGGACCCAAAGAGCGTGAGTTCAATATCTGGTTAAGTTGGTGGAGAACCTGGAGAGGGGAATTAACAGGAGATAACTGATAACTGACATCCATTAGAAATTGCACATGGAACTAGGACAGTCTACCCCAGCAATCGAAATAAAGAGTTCAATTCAACATTCCAACCACCTGAAGAAAGCCAGAGTGTACAACGGCTGAAACGTTGTGATAAATATGGCAACAAAGATGAGGATGATAGTCCGAACAATGTATAAATTTTTTCTGATCGCAAAAGCGTAAAATCCTGGGTTACAAACTAATATCCATACAACTGAATATCTTAGCTCTATCACAGATATTGAGCACTTTCTACTAAGTACAATGCATACATACATACATACATATACACGAGTTTGTTGTTGCTTTGAAATTTTTCATGCAACAAAAACAGTCTATCATTATTGTTTCGTCCATGTATTGTTTGATATATTGAAATGTAATTGTCAGCTTTGATAATGGCTTATGTAAGCTGAAAGCTTAGATTGAATTTAAACATGTATCAATATGGTGATTTCCTTTCATCTTTAAAGGATAATGTTATTAAGCTTATCAGACAATATGAAAGGAACTTAAAATAAATAGACAAAACTTGTCTATATTATTTAATGAAACATACATTAATGAAAAATTGCTGCCTAATCACACACATATATATATATATATATATATATAGTTTTAAGGTATGCTATATTTAAAGGTAAAAGTGTTCATTATTAGGGATATAGTGTAGGTAAATATAAAAGCAGACACTGAGGTTAACACTAAATGACATTTATAGTAATAAGAAATAATGTTAAATAAAAAAGATCCTTTCAAAAAAATTACTGTGGTTTACATTTCAGGTATGAAATTGAAGCTAGCAGACATAGATTTGTAGAAATCTCAGTGAGAACAACATTCCTTCTGACTTTGTCCTGTCAGTTTGGGTTTCTGGCCACACTTCTTACTGTCTCTAGGTGGGAATTAGGAAGAGAGAAATGCTGGTTAAAAATTAATAATTTGAAAATTAGCATAAAGCATGGGCTGTCTGGAATAATATGGATGTAATCTGGAAATCTGATCTACCAGACGACTTCAAACAGATTCTTTCTGGCTACTTCAGAGACAGTGTTAGTTTATGGTGCCACTGCTTAGACATTAACAAAGACCCTTGAGTCTAAGTTTGATGGAACCTATACTCGGATGCTGAGAGCTATACTTAACATCTTCTGGAGACAACATCTTCTGGAGACAACATCCAACTAAATCACAGATCTATGGACCCATCCCTGATATTTCTACATTCTTATGCACTTTGCAGGATACTGCTGCTGTGTGAAACAAGAACTCATGAGAGATTTACTATTCTGAACACCTATCCATGGAGTACGACAAATTGGTCATCCAGCAACCACTTACATTGATCGGCTATGTTATGACACAGAATACTACTTTAATGACTTTCCAAACTAGATGCAGGTCCGTGATGGTTAGCGTGATAGATGCATAAGTGTCCAAGTGTTGTATAGCCCCTTGGTGAGGGTGGTTTTGTGGGAACGATGTCAATTTGATCATAATAACGTTATCTTCTCTCTCTCATCTTCTGGCTGGTGATTGCTAGCCATTTTGGTTTGGAGATAAAAGAACTTCAACAAAGGGAATTTTAACTTAACTATTTTATTAAACATGTCAATGTATACATTTCTAATTAGCCAGTGGGGTTGCTCTCCCCCTCCACTGG